TCCAGTACCATGTTCTTGGAAAACTACTTTCACAACTTCAGTGCCCAAGGGCCCCACATTTAAAAAATTCTTTTGATACATATGTTTGTTTCCTGAATTGTCACTTAATTTGTATGACATTTTTCTGTTTTTACAATCACTTAAATTTAAAAATTTTGCATGTTTTTCTAGACTATATTCATTTCAGTGAACAAATATTCATGAATTTTCATTAATCCTTTCTGAGCCAAAATAAAGGCACACTAACCTTCTATTTTTATTGATGAGGTAAGGAAGTAAAAAGATACTATGCAATTTGATTAAAATCCATCATTAAGTCAATAGTGATATAGATATGGGTCCCAAATCTTAGTTTATAATCGAGTGTTATACCTTTTATTATATTCTCTAAATTAAAACAAAACAAAAGAGGTATATTAAAACATCTAAATTAAAATTAAAAAGATGCTTCAAAACCCAAGGCAAAATCATCCCATTTACTTCCCTCCACAACCGGGGAGAAATATGTAACTCAGAACACTTAGATTTATTTTTGTTAAAATTTCCTTTTAAGATACTGATTAGAGATTGGAAGAGTGGCTCAAATGGTAGAGTTCAAGGCCCTGGATTCAACCCCTAGTACAGCAAAAAAAAAAAAAAAAAAGATAAAAGAATTTGACACCAATTACTCTTGGAACAAAATGGTGTTAAACAAAATGCTTTTTGTTTACAGCCTGATAAAGAAGCGAAATCTAATCTCCTAATAATAAAAACACTCTTGTTCCATCCTGAAGTATCAAATTCAGTATTTTCCTCTAGACAAACTAATTACTTTTTGGTCCTGAATTCAGTATTCTCTCTCCTTTTGGTAATCTTTCCTTGTACTGACAAATGCCTAGCTCCACCCAGGACTGTAAAACTCACAGAATGTCTCATGTTTCCATCAACTATTCATTACATAGCATAGATAAAATGACTCAATGTGACCGATTTTATTTTTCTCTAATTCCTCTGGAAATTGTCTAGACTTGGTCCAAAGAAGAATCTACATTATTAAAATGGACTAAAGCTTATTTCTCTCCAAAGAATAATATTTTGTTTCAAAAGAAGAACAATAATAAAATCTTTGGTAAATTATTCTTATCTTTTAGAGTTCATATTCTTATCTCATGAAAACTATAAATTGTAATAAACCATGTCTTCTTCAAATCTTTCTTGTGGTTCTGATATTCTATGAAAGAAATAATTTATTTTTATAATCTATAATTTCTTTTCTCTTCTTTTTGGACCAAATACAAAATTTGATTAGAGAAAACATCAGATCTAAATTCCTGGGTCTTCTGAGTCTTCTCTGTTTTGAGTTTGGGGAACTCTCAAATTTAATCCAGTAAGCATTTAAACAGCTGCTTCTTTACTTACAATGGGATTGTGTTCTGATAGGCCCATCTGTGATGCTTAATCTTGTTTGTCAGATTGATTGGATTAACACCCAGGAAATCTCCTAGTCAAGTACACCTCTGTATCTGTGAGGACATTTCCAGAGACAATTAGATCTTGAGGGTTCTGACCTAATGAATGGATGAGTCCCTTCATAGATTTAAAATGTAATGGCATTATTGGAAAGTGGTAGAAAGTAGGAGCTGAGGCATAGTTGGAAAAAGTAGGTCACAGGGATCATTTCCTTTTGGCTGTATCTTGCCCTGGTCCCTTCCTTCATTCCCTTCTCTCTGCTCCCTCTCCGCCATGCTTTCTCTGCCATGATAGACTGGACCCTTTGAACATGTGAGCCCAAATAAATCTTTCCTCCTTTAAAGTTGTTCTTTCAGGTCATTTGGTCAGAGCTATACAAAAGTAGCTAATTCACCATCCTAAATGAAAAATATTGTTAAGCTGAAAATGCATTTAATACTTCTATTGAACATCAAGTGTAAACATGCTGAGAACACTCACATTAGACTATACTTGGGCAAGATCCAGCACAGGACTATTTTATAATAAAGTATTGAATAGCTCATGTGACTTGTTAAAATAACTTGTGTGCAAGGACAGTAGCAAAATAACACTGCACAGTACTGATTGTTTGTCTGTGAGATCATGTGGCAGGCTGGGAGTTGTGGTTTATTGCCATTGCCCAGCACACTGAGAGAGTGTGTGCTACACATTGCTAGCCCAGGAAAAGATGAACATTCAAAATCCTAAGTATAGTTCTTACTCAGGGCGCATCACTTTCACACCATGGTGAAGTTGAGATAGTGCAAATCAAATCATCATAAACCAGGAGCTTTTGCATATTAATTGTGCATTTATAATGTCCTGGCATGCTGCTAGTTCTGATAGAAGTAGAGTACATAGGTCACAGAACTTGTTCTCAAGTCAGTTAGTGTCTATGTAGAAACACGTGTACATGACAAATAGTACACCAGTCAACTGTAAAAAGTATTATCATGAGCCTATAGAAAAGGGAAATATATACTATTGGAGAGATCAACAAAGGGCTCAGAAATAACATCATGATTAAGTTCACACTCATAAATCAACCCAAGCACATGCCAGGCCCAATATATAGAGACATCATTAATTAAGAGAAATTTTAGAATTTAAGATGTAAAAATTAGCAGTATTTAAAATGCTCTTGCTCCCCTTCTTCAGTGGTCCCACAATACTTTGCACCTGTCTCTACACTTGTCTGGTAGGTGGCCTTACATAAAATCCCACTCCAAGTATGTGGTTTATGACAGGAATCCTTAGAGCAGGACCCCAGGCATATCACCTTTGAATTCCCAGTGCCACCATGAGCATGTAGCATCAGTAGACAACTAAAATTTCTTAAAGGAGTGAATGGGCTGGCTATTTCAATAGCACTTCATAAAGTAGACCAAACTCTGACTTATCTCTCTTAGCAAACCATTTCTTTCAGCTTTTGAGTCCCTCCATGGGCTGTATCTTCATGGAACTCCTTTTCTCTCCTCTTCTTTATTGTTGTGCTGGGTAGGGGCATTGTGGCATTTACAAAGGTTCTTACAGTCTCTCAAATATATCATACTTGAATTCCCCCCCTCCAAGCATGGAACTCCTTTTCCCATGGCTTTACCTTGTCTCATCCTTTGCTGGGTCAGCTAGGGAGAGAGTGAGCACAACCTAGATCACTAGGCGGTGATCATACTGTCTTGTCACTGTTTCTACCTTCATGCTAAGATCCTCACTGACCTGCATCCCAGCATGAGTTCACACACATTCATACACTCCACCTAAGTTATTTTAAAGATGCAGAAGGAGCAACTCCTTTATCTGTTTAACTTGTTGTGTGGACTCGTTCCACTGTCATCGCTGAACACAGTCAAGAGAGTCACAATGTCTTATGTTTAGGTCAGACACACACACAAAGATGCTAGCACAGCACACAATATACAATATCAAAGGTGCAAAAGGAAACTATAGATGTCAGCTGGAGTATGAAACCAAAAACAGGTCTGAAATGGACAAAAAGTGAACTCAAGAGAGTTAAAACGTTTATCATTGCTAAGGGACGTTGTAATTTGCTTATATGTATATGTAATAAAAATATAATAAAAATTCATGAAATAATGTATATGTTGCTTTTTTTTAGTATTTTTATTGCTTATGTTTTAATTTACTTTTGCTTTTCCCCGATAATTAACATTGTACCCTCAGATCTTTGCCTCTAAATGTTACCTCTCTCTGAAGTGTCACTTTAATATTCTATTGCATTTCCCTCACTATTAGCCTCATTTCATGATGGAAGACAATGAAGGAATGGTATTTAAGTTTCCAGAAGTTCTATTTTGGAGTTATAGATATTTTAGTTTCTAGAAATTCTATTTTGAAGTTATCTATATTAATATACATTTCCACTTAAGGCAAGGAGAGGTAGCTAACAGCCATTAGATAAGTTGTAATTCATATATAATATTTAAGAATTAAGGAAATCTATTAGATAAATCCAATAAAAAGCACACTTCATTTCTGGCACAATCAGATCCCTTGTCAGTTCACAGATCTAGGGAACACTGTAGTGACCCCACCAGGCAGCTTTCTTAGAAATACAAATTCTCAAGCCCACATTAAAGCAGAGAGTTGGAATGTGCACTTTACCAAATCCCACATGACTTGTGTGCACAGTAGTGTTTTAGAAGCACTAGAGGCCTTCCCAGAAGCCCAGTGAAGGGAATTATTCCATGAACATTTACTTTACTCGGAGTTTCTTTTCACAGATTTTATATGTTATTTTCTATATCTTGCCCAAACTTACGTTATGATACAATCTTGGAATTTGGTGGCCTCCCTATTTTCCATTTTCCATCCGATCCAATGGTTCTGGTTCTGTGCTGTGTAAATTGCCCCCATTGCCCTTCTACCAGAGAACCAGGAGTGTGAGAGGAAGAGAAAGGAGGGGCCACTGACTGGAATTAGAGCATTTCATCTACTTTTCCTGCAATTTGGGCATGCCCACTCCACTGTCACCAAAGTGCATTCTTCTGCAAGGACTATCATAAGAGCCAGACAACCAGCTTACTTTTGTAAAGGGAATTTCCCCATTTATCTTCCTATAGCTTTTGTGTTTCACACACCAGGGGACTTAGATTAAGTATGCATTTCTTTGCAGGGGTATATTCATTAATAATCTTCAAATTTTGTCACCAGGGGAAACCAAGATGTGGCTGAGTCTCAGGTATCTTGACACATGGTTGATGAGAGGTATTCCTGTAGACTAGCTAACAACCAGAGAGAAAGTCACCACTGTGTCCCAATTTGCAGGGTTGGGAATTGAACGCAGGTCCTTGCACATGCTGGGTAAGCATTCTGCCACTGAACTGCGGCCCCAACGCCATGACTTTCATGAAGATAAGTAGCCTATCTATTAGAGTAAGCCTATTTAATGGATGTTGACAGCGCACTGATGATGACAACATGACAAGAGTCCTACTGAAGCGATGACAGGATGAATGTGCGTGAAAAAGGACACACGGCTATTATTTAAGTAATAAAGGAAGGTGACATACCTATGCTGCATCCCAGACATCCTTCCTCGCAAGGCATACATTCTTCATAGTCAGAATCTTGGACTTCACCTACACGAGAGGAATAAAAGCCAACTCATTTCCATTAAGTGGAGACCCATGAATTGCTATGAAACTATGTTGGTGTGAACCTTATTTTTAAGTAAATCACAGATCAGTTATGAAATCAAAACCACCCTAAGGATATACTTGTCATGAACCTTTTATCTCTCTCTATTAATTTAATAGATTGGATTAGCTTAATTGGGTGCAAGTAGAACAAAGTTGGACTATAGACCATCGAAGTAGTTGTAAAGTCAATTTGGTGAATTTTATTAAAGAAATCAGTTCTGCTTCTAGTTATGTAAATGAGTAGGCTCCTATTCTTTTTATCTGGGCTACTAAATACATTTTTAAAAAGTTTTCAATCTTTCGCTGTAACTGTAAACATTGAGGAAAAATTAAAAGAAGTGTCTTAATTAGTCTAGAAACATCTTCGAGCTGTAGCACTGGACAACGCATAACCCTTATTCAATGCAGGGTAATAATCTGTGGCATTCTTATAAAGAAGAGAGCACGAACTGCGTTGCTTTCTAATTTCCTTGTTTCTATAAAAGGTAAGAATGGGCAGTCACAGTAGCACATATAATTCACAGGCTATTTGAATATTTTCAAGTAGGTGTAAGTAGGCTGATTCTCACTGGCTTCTCACAGTGACTGTCTTGCTTTTCCCTTCTTAAATGATGACCTCAAGGCATGGAAAAATTAGATTAGTTTTGTCCAGGGTCTCATATTTAGTAATTGGAAAGGAGAAAACTTGGCCAAGGCATTGAAATTCTAGCCTAATTTTCTCTCCATTATATCCTGTGCACAAACCTCCCCTGACCACTTTCTACATGACCTGGACTTTAGGGGAAACCCAGGGAAAGGGCAGAGGGGAAAGGAATGGCAGCTACCACAGACATAGAGTCATCTAAAGTCACCCCATGTGATGATACTAAAGCCACATAGGTAATTCAAGTCTCCAGGACACCCAGGGATACAGTCAGGGGCCCCAGAGTAGCCTCACCTTGTCCGCATTCCAATTTCTGGCAGGTGGTAGACACTAGGAAGTAACCGCTCATGCATCTGGTGCAGACATGTGGGTGGTAGCAAAGCTCACAGTTGTCTGGGCAGGGCAGACAGGTGTGTTCCTTGGTGGGGTAGTGGCCCACTGGGCAGCTCTCGCGACACTCACCCTGGTATAGGAATAGCTCTCGATCATGTGTGTCTGAACAGTTGGAGGAGCAATGGAAAGACAGAAAATGTACAAAATCAGCCATGAAGCTAATATAATGTAGGACATTTTATTAAGAAAAGAAACGACTGAGTGCTTTTGTTCCTAGGGGATCAGGAGTGGAAGAATGTATTTAATGAAAAGTGCAATATCTATATCCTTGTTGTTGAAAAGTTTTCCTTGCAGGGAATCATTTTCCAATATTTTATATATCTGAGTGAACAGTGACTACTATCTGGGATGTCATTGCAAAAAAATCACAAACCATGCTCTGTGAATAACTACAATTTCCCAAGGGCTCTTTTGGTATCTGTAGAACTTCTCAGACTTGGACATTGCAAAGATCCCATAAGAATAAACACATGCTTAATGGTAAGACATGCTTCATAAAAGCTCAAGCTTTAAAAATGATTTGGAATTGTTATCAAAATCACATTCTTGTGTTAACTAAGGTCTGAACTTTTGCAAAGTTACCAATTTCAGAATTCCATCCTCACTGAAGCACTAGATCAAGCACACCTCTTTGGCTTCTTTACGTGCATCCCTGAGGGTTTTTGATCTCCACCAACCTTGGGCTCTATATGGAAAGAATCAGTACTACTTCCAACATGATAGACTATGGGAATTTGTTCTTGGAGGGAATGGAACAATTTGGTTAGTTATAAAACATCACAATTAGTGATAAAAGATTATACTTCATCAAGAGTCTAAAAAACAACAGTAAGATTAATATTACGGATGCACCTAGAGGTTTTCTACTTCTTCTAGCCTCTTGGAGTTTTTGTGCTGAGTGTGCTCAGAGTATCCATCTTCTCTGAATCAGATTTCCCATATGCCCCTACCTCTGAAAAGCAGGCAATCTATATTACCCAGAATAACCTGGGTCTAGTGTTTACTCATCACGTGATTCACCACCTGGAGATCCAAAACCATTGACCTTCGATGATTCAAGACTGCTGAGTTTGTGGATAAAGATAGCACAAACCCCCTGTTGCAAGTGCAGAACTGAAAGTTGGTGTAATGTTAGATGGAACCATGTGAATTTGCTGATGTCTGGCTATTTTTTTTTTTTACTTACAAATGTGACACTTTCAAATGGTTTGTCCTAATTTTTCTCATTTAATTCAAATATAATTTTAATAACATATTGTTAGATTATGGACTCTCATACTACCTGTTTTTTATTGTAAATTTATACCAAAGTCTACTGGTTTCTGTGGGGCCAAGAAAATGGATTCCACAGAAGTACTAGAAAAAAGTATCAACTGTTTGCAAGTTCAACTTAGAAGATTATAGTCTATGGGGAAAAGTGAGAGCACACAGCATGCATTTGGTGATGCTGTTAGCTTAGACCAATGTTGTTGAGCACAAAACTCATCTGGTAGAACCTGGAGTTTCAGGGGACCACAGAGGGTCAACCTTCCAAGTTAGGTTCTTCTCAGACCCTCCATGAAACCCCAGAAAACTCCATTTCCACCCTGATTCTTACATAAACAATACTGTTTTTTTCTTTTTTTTTTTAGAGCACCACAACTTCTCAGTTGTAGGCGAGAAGAGCTGAGGAACAGTAGGGAGGAAGTCTAACGTGCCTCTGTTCAGTGGTTGCTGTATATCCTGTACTTCTTCATAGGACACCAACTCTAGATCCAGGGGTTTGAGGGCAAGATCTGGTTCCATTAAATTCTGCATACATGTTTTTGGGTAATATTGGGGTTTAAACTCAGGACTTTGTGCTAGCTAGGCAGGTGCTTTACCACTTGAGCCATACCTCCAGCTCCTCTAAATACATATTTATTGAATGACTGATTGAACGAGTGAGAGAGTGAATTTATATTTGACAATATTCAATTTTTTCCATATATTCACCTGGATCAACAGCCTTAAAATCAAATTGACAACCATGGGCTCAGACATCAGAGGATATGTTCGTCAATTCTATTTTTAGCCAGTTGCCAGTGACTCACTCCTATAATCTTAGCTACTTGGGAGGCAGAGATCAGGATGATCTCTGTTTCAAGCCAGTCTGGGCAAATAATTTGAGAGACCCTATCTTGAAAATATTCAACACAAAAAAGGACTGGTGGGGTGGATTAAGTGGTAGCATGCCTGCCTAGCAAGCATGAGGTCCTGAGCTCAAACCCTAGTACAACCAAAACCAAACCAAAACAAAAAACCCACAAAAACAGGCCCCATAAAGGAAGTTCACTTAGAGTCTTTGACAATGGTCTGCTCTCCTCCCAGGTTTGCTCTGGGGTTTTGTCAAGAGTTGTCAGATTTCAAATAGCCTATGTTGTATACCATCTCACTTAGTTATGGATGATAATTCAAAAAGCCCAGGATTTATATAGCAGTCATAGCTTTTGACTTCTTGACCAAGGTCTTCAAATTTAAAATATTATAATAGCATGTAAGAGAAACTGGTTCCAGCAGTATAAGGGCTGACATCTTTGCTAGGCCCTAGAATCTAATATGGGAGGATATGAGACAAAAATGAAGGTGCAAGGAACTGAAAGAGGTTCAAATTGGCGTTCAGGTATTCAGAGCAAATCTTGACAGCTGATCTTGTGAGAAGACAAGGCAGACCTGTGTGAAGACACTGAAATCTGTAGGAAGAAAGGAAGGTTGAAAGATGAAGGCATGCATTAAAAAGGACCATGGGAGGGATGAAAGAAAGGCCAAGGACCTCTGAAGATAAACTTCATGAAGTTTTCTTCAATATTTTGCTTACTATAGCTATTATGTAACTGTGTGAATTTGGCTTTAGAGTCTAATTTGGCAGAGGATACACTAGAAGAGCTTTAAAATTTTTACCACCATAACTAGAATCTGTGTCCCACAGGATTCACACCTGAGCGTTAATAAAGCTACAATTTGACAAGGGTTGAAGTCTCTACGACCTGGTGGGAGAGGCTTATGTGGGGACAGGGAACCTCCAAACAGAGGATTTTTCAGTCCTGTATTAAAGACTTCATTTATGGATGTGAAACTTTGTCAGTTAAGTCTTTAGCATGGTCTCATCAAGGATTCTGTCATCCTTGCTGTACTAATACTTCTTGAACTGGGGACTGCACGCTCTTACTAGGCAGAGACTCTGCTATATGAAGATTTGGTGCATACACTTTCTCTAAGAAGCATCCTCTGCTCACTGGGGCTGGACAGGATGCTTCTTCTTTAATCACTCTTTTGGTCTTTATCTGATATTTTTTTACTTTGTAATACATGAGGACAAATCTCCTTTTTTGATTGTAAACTTGAAGATATTGTGGTAGTTAACTTTTCATTGCTTAACAAAATGTCGGACATAAACAACTTAAGAGGAGGAAAGATGTATTTTGGCTCATGGTTTCAGTCCACCATGAGGAGGAGGGTGTGGCACAGCAGGGTCTCCTCTCTAATAGTGGCCAGGAAGCAGAAGTGCTATGCTGGGAGCTTCTTCCTTCTTCCCCTTTCATTGATCTGGGCCCCCATCCCAATGGAATGGTGCCACCACCTTTCTTCCTTAGTTAATTTGCTCCGGAAACACCCTCATAGATAACCCCCAGAGGTGTGCTTTACTAACCTACGTGCTTCTCAACCCAGTCAAGTTAACAGTTAAGGTTAATTATCACGAGTATCACTCTAGTTCATCATATTCCCATGGCACCTCATATATAGTAACTTGTACATGGAAGGGACACAATAAATGTTTAAGATAATAGAGTAAACACAGCCTTTTGAATATAAAATATGGAAGAAATGCCAAAGTATTTGAGATATAGATTGGTAGACATGGCTGTGAGATGTTTAGAAGATTAGACATTTGTTGAGCATCTAAACTTCTCTCTAATTCTCTGCTAAGTATGGAGATTTAGAGTGTTTTACGTGGGAAAGTGATTTTAGATGTCAACCTGCCCTTTCTTCTTTTTTTAAAAATTTTTCTTTTTACAACTTAGTAGTGGCTTAAGTGAACTGATTGTTTTGGTGTCCTCCAGGAAGTTAGAACAAAGCAAGACAAGAGTGCAAGTTTACTGATTGCTGTCTTGACATTCTTTCTACAGAACCACTTATCCACTCAGTTATTTGTGTACCTCCTCTATAGGACAGATGCTGGGCTCCTGCTCACCCTATAGCACAAAAGAAGGCAGAGACCACTCACTGCTATCAAAGGGCATCGAGTCTTATGGACATGACAGACACCCAATATGGTGGCATGTGAATGGGGAAGTACAGTGCTCCTCGGGGGTCACGTGAAAAGGGTCTAACCTAGACAACGAGGGAGGCTGCCTTGCAGAAATGATGGTGAAAACAAGATAGAATAGGAAGAACCAAGCCAGACCATGAGCAGAGACATTTCAAGGGAAGTCTTGAGGTTAGAGAGACACAAATGTTCACAGCAGTAGGCAGATATAAGCAACAACAGAAATAACAAAAATAAGGATAGCTAATATTGAGTGCTTACTATGTTTCTAGCCCTGGTCTAAACACTTAATTATTTTGTCTCACTTAATTTTCAAAATTACTCAAAAAGAGGTAATCATCACTACCTTATAGAGAAAAAGGGAAGCTGAATGAGACAGTATAGAGATAAAATGTGACATAGATATACTTTGTTTACATATGAAACACAAGGCAATACTTTAAAATTTACACATAGAAATGTATTATTTCCTGAATTCTTCCTAACCTGTGATATTCTCAATATTTTTCTTAGTCTTACTGCAAACAAGAATAAAGATAAATAATTCTCTTCCACTAGAAAAATGATATAAGAGTGATAATGATGATAACTGATAACCTCAGAATTAGGGAGACTGTTGGGAATGCTGGGGACTGTGGGCAAATGGAGAACAGCCTCTTCCAACCTCCAGCCCTAAACCTCGTTGGGAAAGGTAAGTTCGGTGTTGCTAGATTTTCTAATTCTTTTAAACAGAAACAAAAAAAGTACATGTTTTTGTTTAGAATTTCCCAAATTTTAAATTTAGCTCATTTAACATGCATTAGGTAAGTCACATAAAATAGGAACCTGGCTTACATGAGGACAGGCATCTGAGATGAAACTAGAACCATGTCAAGGGTCAAACTTCAGAGCGACTCTGAGACCATGGACTACAAGTCAATGACAGCAGAACACTTTGAGAATTCACACTGGGCCTCAAAAAGTCCCAATGGTCATGAATTCCTTCAGGGCTCTGATGACACATAAATCACAGAGCGTGGCTCTGAGAAGACTTGACATAGCCTCCAATATGGTTTCTCTTTTAGAGGCCAAATGTGTCTTCCTTAATTCCCTAGCTTTTCATTTTTATCTCAACAAGTCTTAATTTTACTGTGTATGTCATGCCTGACATCATGTTTCTATGCCCTTTCTTTCTCCTTCTCTGGGAAAACATCTCTTAGCTTCTCTCATTTCCTCAGGGGCAATGACTCAGCATCTATGTCAATGTGAACAAGGCTTAATATCCTGGCAATGAGCAGTTACTTCCCAGTTGTCTAATGAAAAGTTCTCTAGTAAATAGCAGCCTAGTCTTAGCCCTCAATCCCAGAACAAGGCTTCTGAATCAACCTAAATACTAGCCAGCAGTAAGAGAACAGGTCTGAGGTAAGGAGAGCAAGCCAGCAGCTGGCTCCCTCACCCGCTCCACAGGAGGTACAGTTGGAAGGCCCACTTCCTTGACATCCTTGGCAGGTATGGTGGCATGGATGGCATTGCTTTTCAAATTCGTATTTCCATGAGGGACAGTTCAGAATGCAGCGGCCATCATCAAAGACTCTAGAGGAAAAGCAGACTTTTAGAATTTATCAGGTGACTTTCCAGAATGGCTTAAGAACCAGAACATACAGTATTCATGTTTTGCTGTACAGATTTGGTTTCATTGTTCCAGAAACTAGGGGATATTCCAGAAACAAAAGGGACTGATCATCTCAGAACATGTAAAACATTAGTCAAGAACCCATCCTTGGCCCAAGGTTTAGAACCAACATCAGGCATGCCAGAAACTGACTGAGGATCCAATCCTGAGTCTAGCTCCAAGTAGACTAACTGGTACTCACAGGGATTACACCCATATTGTAGGCTCCAGTCAAAACCAGCCATCGTTCAGGTGGAAGTCTGAACTTTCAAGATGCTAAATGGGCCTCTGAATCCAGAGATCTTGGAGAGAATATTCTTCCTTCAGTTATCAGCATGCCCACCCATGGCAAGGGAAATGTTGGTTCCTAGGGCTCTTGAAGGGCAGAATGAAGCACTGTTCTGTAGCTTAGGTGCTAATTACAAACTTGGCCTATGCATTTTGCAAGTTATCAATGAACTCTGATTTTGAATGTCATGTTTTGGCATGATTTGCTGATCTATGGGGTACTGTAGTCTATTTTCTGATCATGCTTGTGAACACCTGCAAAGGCATTTGTTTTTACATGTGTACAATAGGTATTATGGTGCTGATAATACTTTCATGCCTTTGTTTCATCTTTCCTTGCAAAGTAATCATATGAGCAAATGGGATAAAGTCAACTGTATCCAAGAATCCTGCTCAGAACAATACAAAATGTTGATCAAGTGTATGTTGGAGTCAGGTAATGTGAACAGCTGAAATGAGCTGGGGGGCTCCACCTCCAGAGTTTCTAATTTTGCAGGACTGGGGGGAAGGGAACTGAGTATTTGCATTTCTGACAAGTTCCCAGGCAATACTAATCCCACAAGCCCAAAGAGCACACTTTTTAAAAACCTTTTTATTACTTATTCATTCATTTACTTTTAATTTTATTTTTGATCAACATGTATCAATTGTCCATTGTTCACTGTGGTGTTTCTCTTCTTTTTAGTGGTATTGGGGTTTGAACTCAGGGTCTTATGCTTGTTGGGTAGGCTCTCTACCACTTGAGCCACTCTGCCAGCCCCAGTGTGATATTTCAGTACATGCATATAGTGTGCACTGATCAAATCAGGGTAATTATCATTTGAATCTCCTTGTCATTTTGTTTTGTTTGGACCCTTTGTGTTCCTCTCTTCCAGTGCTTCACAAAATATGTACTAGATTATTGAGAATGGTAGCCACCCTACTGTGTTGGGGACACCAGAACTTGTTCCTTCTATCTGTATTTTGGTGACTGTTATCAAAACTTTCCCTATCCAGCCTCCCTTTCCACCCTTCCAGCCTCCCTTTCCACCCTTCCAGCCTCCCTTTCCACCCTTCCAGCCTCTAGTAATCATTCTTCTACATTCAGATTAGTTTTTTTTTTGGCTTCCTCCCATGAATGAAAACATGCAGGATTTGTCTTTATGTGCCTGACTTATTTTATTTAACATTTTGCTACAAGTGACTGGATGTCATTCTTCATTATGGCTGAATAATATTCCATTCTGCATATGTGTCACATTTTCTCTATCCATTCATCTGTCGTGAGCACTGAGGTTGACTTGTATCTTAGCCATTGTGAGTAGTGCTGCAATTATCATGGGGCATCTTTGGTGCACAGATTACATTGCCTTTGCCTATGTACCATAGTGGGATTGCTGGATCCTATGAAGAGCACTTTCAAGAACTACTGCTCAATGACAATCTGGATTACCGCACACTTTGCCAAATGATTCCTAAATAATACAGGTGATGCCAAACTGGCATCTCTTAGAATTTCCTTAGGGAGGTAGATATCGTATCTGTTGTGAGGTTAACTGAGCACATAGCATGCACATGTTGCAATTCTGGCCTGGGCAGCTGAATGGGCCTGCAAGGAAGTGGGAAGTTTTCCTTTCACCACTCAGGTTGAGCACTACACAAGAGGCAGGGAATAGGCCTTGAGCAACTTGTTCCCAGACCGGTACTGGTTTATCCAAACCCTACTACTTCCAGATCTAGAGCCAACCCTGAACTGGGGAATGGGCTGTTTCAATCCCAGGTTTGGAGGAAATTGGGGTGGGGACGAGGTGTCTTGGTATTCTTTCCTATATATCAAAACTCTGTCATTTTCATCAGTTTGGAAACAGAATGGTATCAAGTCAGCACCCAGCATAGAGACCACCTTATTCTTGGATCCCCAACTCTCAGATTCTGGTCACTGTACCCAGAACCACTGGAGTGAACATTCCTTTTGGACCCCTGCGGGGTACGGAGTCCTAGCCCTAAGCAGATGCTCTACACATCCGGCTGTCCGTGTCAAAGCAGCAACTTGCATCGTGGCATAGGATGAGGGGTGTGGTTGCCCAGGCCAGATTTTTAGCTGAGCTGATGGCCCTAATGTCAGTGGGAAATGTCCCAGCACCACTTTGGCTCTGGTTTCTGAATCAGTAGGTTTTTCAAGGAATGATTTGGATGGGGCTAGTTAACAAAACCCCCCTCCCCCCAACCCTTCCTAAAAGCAGCATAAGAACTTTCTGAGAACTTTAACCAAGGAGGCTACTCAATGTTCTGCAGAAAAAGAGCAGGCCAAGTTAATCCAGGGAGATTGTTTTCTTGCTAAAGTCATTTGAGAAAGCTATGTGAAGTGCATCATTGATCTGTTCTTTTAGGAAGAGATGATTGGTTCAAAGGTGACCTGACACTTTCAGTGGGAGCCACTTAAAACCATGCAGACAGTGGGAGAAGAGGGAATAATGGCTCCACGTTGTAGGAAAGTGACCACCTCTTGAACTCGATTTGAAGAAAGTAGCACCATGTAATCGTGCTTCAAACGACTCTCCTCCTGCACCCTTTAAGGCAGAGGTGACACACCCAATTTTTGGAAGTGCACATTTCTCTCTGAAGGAAGAATGATAGGGAACACAAATAACTTTAAGTGAAGGCAAGAAATTATTACTTCCCCTGTGCTCTCCATCCCTCTCAAGAAAAAATTGCTCAGAAACTTGAAGAAAAGATAAATTCTCCTAGTGAAGGAGAATAGATACTTTGCTCTCTAAAAGTAGAAAAAATTCTTTAAAATGTCAAGTTGTCTCTGGGACCACCAATCATCCTACACATGGATTTGTGAGATGGCAAGCTGGTCTCTGCAGAAGAGCTTCTCTCCCTGAATCATGCTCTTGACCTTTGGATAGGCAGGGACCCTTCCCAGGTCCAATAGAGCTCATAGCAAGGAAGAAGGTGGTAGAACCAAATGCTAAGAGCTGGAGCAGAGATGATCTCAACACTGACACTGAATATTTTGGAAGTCCTCCAGATGTGTGGATATGTGTATGTGAGAGAGAGATGTGAAGTATAACAGAAGAGTCAGTAAGTCAGCATTATTAACTGGTCTTCTGTGCCAATTGGCTTAACCTAATTAAAGCCGTTGCAAGGACACATGCAAGTTTTTGTGCTTTAATGTTGTAACAGAATTAAATCTGGCAAAAAGTCTTTTTCTCTGTGCTCATTGAAGCAGATCAAGTAAGATCCTTAAGACTGAGTAAGAACAGAGGTAATTTTTAAATGCTTTTACTGTGTTTCAATAAACACAGTAAAACCCTATATCTCTTTCAGGACTGGGCTGGGACATGAACTTGGGCAATGGGGACTATGGCATTTAAATACAGTAGCAAAGGGGGCTCTTGCTTTCTCCTAGTTTTCAGTTATCTTTAGCAGCGAACCCTAAGGCTTACAGAAGTGTAAAGAGAAGTACAGGACACAGAAGTGCTTCTAAAACTTTGATTTCCTGTAAAACAACTTTGGGATTAAATTCTTTTATTAAAACATTTTTATTATGGGAAAATGTAAGCCTACATTAAAATAAACATATAGAGGTGATATATCTATATCTATAGATATATGTCTATGTAAAAGACAGCAGTATTCCCTACTCACTGCATTCATCATTCAGCTTCAACAATTACCAGTGCCTGCCCAATCTTATTTCATCTCTCTGCCCACTAGCTTACTTTCCTTCCATATGTTTTTGGAGCAAATATGCAATTTAAATGTTAACACTCCTCTCAAAGATGAAAGTTCTTTGAAGATAATCTTTATTTTATCAGGACTAAAAATATCCAAAAGCTTAAGAACAGGAAGAAGCTCAGAGAGACCAACTGTCCCAGTTATTTTGTTTATCTCCACTCAGTCCTAGCCCCAATCCATTTTCCACCATTTTCTGTCCTGCTGTGCCCTGGAAGTGAGCCCACTATAAATTGCAGCCCAAGCTCAATTATTCTCACTTGTAAGTAGTATTTCCCATTGGTCTCCACTGAGTTTCAGACAAGGGGATACATGTTTCAGACATGGGCATTTATTCCTTCCTCCTCTAAAACCCTCCCTCTTCCTTCCATGGCCAGGCAGAGGCGATGTCTTCTACAGTTCCAGCTTCTTTTGGGTATTCCCTCTTCTACCCGCCCAGCTCTTGCTTCAGATACAGTATTAAAATTTCCCCATTGTTGCTTGTCCCTGAGTGTGACCTCAAAGGCAGGGAGAAGTGTGCTAAAGAACTCAGAACTGGGCAAAAAGCAGGTAATTTTGATTTGTCTTGGATGGACCTGATTCCACTTGCTATGATTTGAATGTGTCCTCCAAGGTTTATATTGGAAAGTTAATCCATAATGCAACAGTGTTGTGAGGTGAGGTAGAATAAGAGGTGACGAGGTAATGTGGAATTTTCCACCATGGAAGGATTAATGCTGTGATTATGGGAGTGGGTTACTCATATAAACAATTTCCTCTTCTTTTTGTTCTCTCCCACTCTTGCCCGTCCATAGCACTCATCAGAGGCCAGTGCCATGTTCTTGAACTTTCCAGCCTCCAGAACGTCTATTGTTTATAAACTACCTAGTCTCAAGTAGTCTATGATAGCAGCACAAAATGAACGAAGACCCCATCCAGGAAACATTTTGGAAAATACTTAAGGAAAATATTTTGTAAGTCTTTCAGTAACAAATGAGTCAACATCTCCTTCTTTCCACACAATTTCTTTCTTTTCAACTTCTCAACTCCCTTCAGGGAAAATACCAGAAGAATGAAAAGAAGTCAGGCAGTTCATTACCATGCTACAATACCCTTCCTTGGACAGATTTGCAAGTAACTGACAGCAAAGAAGAAAGATAGGACAAAAAATGTAATGCTCAGAGTATTGAGAAGAAAATTGACCCTGGGGAACAAGATTTTTTTAAGAAGATACCTTAGTTCAAGACCATGAACATGCTTTTTTTTTCAAAAAGTAAAGCACAGGCTATTTTACAACAAACCTATCAAAATGACCCAGCAGGTTTACCTCTGGTCTTGTATCAGTGGCCCTAGATTTTCTTTTGAGACAGGGTCTCACAATATAGCCCAGGCTGGCCTCAAACTTGAGATCCTTCTGCCTCAGCCTCTCAAGTGCTGGAATTAACAGGCATGTGCTATATCTAGCTATGGGCTTAAGATTTTTAAAACATGACCATTTATGGTGATAGAATTTTTTTCTCTCTTCTCATTTTCTGATGAGCCTGAGACAATCGGGACTTCTGCAACACACCTAGATGATTAGAGCTGCCTTATTAAACAAGTGTTCAAGTGTTCTACCAGTTCACATGTCAAAACGTGCAATAGTGTTTGTTGGTATGTTGTGGAGTAGGTGGAGAAATAGAACCTCATTTTGGTAATGTCTGTATTTTAAAGTATGCTCTGAAGCTGCTTTCAAGCAAATTCAATATATATTTTATAACATTAAAATTATTGTTATTATTATTGCTGTATTGAGGGTACATTTTGACAGTTATCAAAGTTCTTACAATAGATCACAATTGAATTCACCTCCTCCATCATTTTCTCTTCCCCCATTCCTGGAATAATTTCAACAGGTCTTATTTTTCCATTTTCATACATGAGTACATAATATTTCCACTACATTCTCCCTCCTACACCCTTTCCTTATATCTTCCTCCCTCCCACTGGTACCAGCACCCCAAACAGGACTGGTTTTGCCTTCACGTTCTCTGTTTTTGTAAAAAAAATTACATTTTTGTTTGTTTAAGATAGCTTTACAAGGTGTTTCATTGTGACATTTCCATGTATATATGTATTGTAACCGGAATTCATTCATCCCCTTGATTTTACTCCTTTCTACCTTTATCCCCTTGTTATGGTGATTTTCAACAGGTTTAAATATTCTATATTCATTCTTGATGGGAAGTACATTGACTATATTCACCTTCTTAACTTCTTTCTTTTACCATATCTCTCTAGTATGTGACCTCCCCTTAGTGTGAGCTGTTTTTAATAATATAAATAAATTCAATATTTAGAGGTCTAATTATCTTAAAGAGATACTTGGAAAATATTCTCAGGTTAGCACTGAGAATTCTCAAGACATTTATTATTTTCCTTGTTCCTTCCTTTTTAAATTTATTTAATCTTTCACCCTTCTTTCTGAGGGAGTTATTCAGAAAGCCAACCTATGATATTGATGATACATATTATCAAGTTAATAAACACACATCTCTAGAATTGTCATTATATGTGATCACAGTGGGAAATAAAGGGACAGCCCCTGCTCATAAGGATATTACAGTTCTTGGGAAGAACTAGGATAAAACGATATGTGCAAAGCAGAGGGAAGGTCCATTCTAGAGGTGCCAAGCCTGTCACTGGAGCAGCTTCATCCTACTAGTCTGCAGAGAGACCCTGCTTCCTACACATTTAGCTGAGCAGTGGTGAGGCAAATGATTCAAACACAGTGGCCAACAGATACTATGCTGCACCCGAGGAGTGTTGACCAAAAGTGCAACAGCCTTTCAACTTTCTTTATTAAAAACGCCTGAAATCTTAGCGACTTGAGAGGCTGAGATAAGGAAGATTGTGGTTCAAAGCCAGTCTGGGCAAATAGTTCTCGAGTCCACATCTCCAAAATAAGTTTGGAGCAAAATGAACTGTAGGTGTGGCTCAAGTGGTAAAGCACCTGCTTTGCAAGCATAAAGCCCTGAGTTCAAACCCCAGTACCACTGAAGAAAGGAATAAAAAAAAGAAAATTCTCAGTGTATTAGCAGAGTTGCTCATCTCATGCATTGAGTGCCTACTGTTTTCCAAGCACTGTGGTAGGTACTGGAGGTACAAAGGTAAATATCTTAAGTAGCTTATTGTCTGGTGAAGAAGTGCATTCGTAAGCAAATGTCTTCAAAGGCCACAAGTGCTCTGATGGAGGCTCACGTAGAGCAAGATGGCATAAAGAGGAGGAGGTTAATTTTATTGCCAAGAGACCAGAAATGCCTTCATAGGACAGTTAGCCTTGAACTGATTCTGGAAATCAGTAGATATTTGGTCATAAATGGAAGTGATGGTTGAGGTGTGCAGAAAGAGATGCGTTTCTAAGCATCAAATGTGGCATCGAAGCCACCATCTTCATTAATGAGAAAGCCCTTTCAGTGTCCCAAGAACTGGTCCTTGAAGAAGTTACTGGGCATGATGGGAGAGGATTCTACAGAGATGGGCTGTGAGCAGACCAAGGAAGATATCTGTGTCAGGAGAAGGAGTTTGGTTCTATTTCCTGCAGGCCCATGGGGTGTCACTAAGGTGTCACTAAGGTAGTTAGCACCTCCCTGGCCTTGCCTTGAAACCTACTACCTCCCACCCTCAGGAGATAATGAGAATCCACTCACCTTGTGATGAGGCAACTGGTGCAGTCTTCCTGGGTTGGCCCCCAGCACTGGGCACATGAGGCATCACAGACTTGGCAGTGGCCATGCTCATCAATATATTCTCCTGGGGAACAAAATGTAGTTGTTTACTTTATTTCTACATGACAAGGCTGCCTGCGCTGTCAGTCTGAGAACAGCCAGCACTCTCTGTGGCTGCCTGAAAGCAATGGAGTTAACATAGAGTGACAAGGCCCTGAATGGCTCCAGTGGCCAGACCTAAATCTTGACCTTGTAATAACAATTTTTCCTTTCTCAGGGGCCTCAGAAGTTGGAACCTTAAAACATTATGAGGCAATGACATGATTTTGGACCTAGTCCATATGTGTTACAGATTTTATTAGTAGGAGGCCAAGGAGGGTTTCCCCATTGGACGCCTTTACTGAGCACTTACTGACTTCCCATTAAAAGATGAGGCCTTAGACCTACAGAGACCCCAAATCAAGTAATGACCAGGACCCATTCACATCTTGTCTGAGTGTGCCAGAGAGGGAGGGATTGTGATACTGGTCAAGAGTGAAAGTTGAGTCTTGGCTGACCTTTGGAAGATATGAACTCCATTTTATCCTGAAGGAGCAACACTGAAGGGATAGCCAGAGAATTCTTCCTTTAAAGGAAAGGTTATTTTTCCCAAGGAAAAACACATATGAAACCTTGCCACAGAAGCAAGTCCAGCTGCACAAATTTCTTTGGAACATTTAGGAAATGACTCCCACGACAAAGGTGATAGAAGCAAACCACATTGAGTGTGATAATCCAAAGAGTGGCCTCCGCTCATTAAACTCAACCTCCCCTTCCATGCCACATTCTTCTCTTCCTCTCCTGCAATTGTTTGAAAGAAAAGAAAAAAAACTTCTTCAGCCAGATCCAGAGAGCCACTTTTTGTTTTTGGTTTGGAAACAGATCATGCTTAGAATAAAATATCATTTCTGACTTTGGAAGACTCATATCCTTCACTTGACCCCACACCACCCCCAATTTTGACAGCCCTATAAGCATCTGAACATTGTCTATCTGAGATTATCTGAGATGCAGCTGGTGTGGTGAGGTGGGATGACCCACCCATGGCTTAATCAAGCTGTCATACCAGTACTCTCAGATTTACTGCTGCTTTTTGTAGATGCATTGAGAAAAGCCCAGGAAACAGGCTTGACTGGTGAGGGATGAAGAGACATTCATGCTTCTGCCTTTTCCCCACAGCGTTACAGAACTGATACAGTCAGGAAAGGTAAGCATTACAAACATGAATCCTCCACTTGCTAGAACTAACCACAAAGACAGAAATGAAGGGATTGCTGGAGTTTGCCCTTACATTGCAGAGAAGGCCCTTCATCTAAAGTTTTTATATTAGCTTTGCTAACTGTGGGGAAAAGGACATGTTAGAGTGATACAAATATCTAATAGCAATATATTCTGCCTACCCTGGACTGTGTTCTAAGTCTTGTATTTGTTACCAAAATTAAGAGCAGAGGATCCAGGGCAGACCTGGTAGGAAGAAATAGACCTTGCCTACGAGGTCCAATGCAAGTTGGATGGTATCTATGTATCTCTCAAAAGATATACACTGAGTCAGACAGAAATGGGAGAAGGCCACAGAGACTTCAAACTTCAAAGTATATTCTAAAGAAATGTGGCAAGGGAGGGGTGAGGATAGGTAAGACACCTAAAAAACTAGCTAGCATTTGTTGCCCTTAATGCAGAGAAACTAAAGCAGATACCTTAAAGCAACTGAGGCCAATAGGAAAAGGGGACCAGGAACTAGAGAAAAGGTTAGATCAAAAAGAATTAACCTAGAAGGTAACACCCATGCACAGGAAATCAATGTGAGTCAATGCCCTGTATAGCTATCCTTATCTCAACCAGCAAAACCCCTTGTTCCTTCCTATTATTGCTTATACTCTCTCTACAACAAAATTAGAGATAAGGGCAAAATAGTTTCTGCTGGGTATTGGGGGGGGGAAGCGGGAGGGGGTGGAGTGGGTGGTAAGGGAGGGGGTGGGGGCAGGGGGGAGAAATGAACCAAGCCTTGTATGCACATATGAATAATAAAAGAAAAATGAAAAAAAAATAATAAATAAAGAAATGTGGGCTCATAGAGAGTACAGCTTCTTCACTCATTCATTCATTCCATGGATGTTTTTTGAACATCTATATACATGCCAGGTACTAGGTAAGATTCAGAGACATACAAATTTAAAAAGCCAGGGTTTTCAAAGATTTTTAAGAAGAATGATTTATAAGGAAATAGTTATACTTGAATGCTAGCCAGGAGCTTCCTACTTCCTCCAATAGTCTAAAGACTAAGACAGAAGAGGAAGGAAACTCACGAAACTCAGCTAGACCTTGTAGACCTAGAGACAAAGACAATTACTTTGCCTTGAGATGTGTACCTGTGGGAGCTATGCAATGGTTTGGTTCTTCCAACTCCTCATTTACCTTACTTGTCACAGCATAGCAGACCCAATGCTAGGATCAGATTTTCAACTAAACGCATCTTGCTGTTAGGTCAAAAGCTGCTACAACACATGAGAGTTGTACCACATCCACACCCAAAGTCTTCACAATTACAGATGAAGCATTGCTAGGTCAGGTAAGGGTTATTAGGATATTATTGTGAAGCTTGAATTCTCTCTCATTTGCCTCCTCATTGTGTTCACTATACCAGTATGAGGCTTTAATACTTTGGCTGTGTATTTTCTTATTTTGTCCAACTATAATGGCTTCTATCAACATTCTCAAGATGCCACCTTAGATATAATGACCACTAAGCATTGCCCATCTCTAAGATTTTGAGTAAGCTCTCCAAATACAACCTATGCATGCCTCATTGTGATTCTACATTACCCAGGTGGCTCTTTATGATGTATAACTTGCTCTTGCATTCCCCACATAGGCTGGGCCAAACCATCTCAAAACATAAATTCCATTCTTGCTCAGAAGGAGATAGCCCTCCTAATTTGCTCCTAATTTGCCTCCTAATTTGCTCCTCAGCTGTTTGAGTTCTCAATGTCAAAATTCCTCCTTAAGTTTTCCTTGACTGATCTCTTATCTCCTATCTTTAAGGAAGGTATGTCTCTACTCTTTCTTCAGGATATTTTGCCCTCTGTCTTCAATCTCTTCTTCACATCTCCCACAAACTTCAGATTTACAAAATTTCTCCCCTAACCAAAAACCTTCCCAAGCTCTTTCCTTTCCTGATAAGTGACTTCAAGCTCCTGCTATTTGGAAGCAAAATAGAGAAGGTTTCATGACCTTGAAGTTTATGTAAGAGAGTCAACGAAGGACAGTAACATGGTTCATCTCTCCAGTCTGCACGCCTCTTCACTTTAGAACAAACTCTGGCTTTAGAACAGATGACAAGGCAGGGACCTGCCCCAATTCTCATATTTATGTAGATGTCCAGTTTGTTACATAAACAACTGCCCCCGGTCCTTACAGAAACAAGTTTTCCACTGCACATTTGGAACTCAGGAGGTCAGATTCCAAGGACATAGGGAAGTTGCCTTATTTTTTTTAGTTGTTGGAGCAGCAAAGTCTTATCATCTATCTTCCTTGCACAATGAAGTGAATATTTATGACAGACGTGATTTACAAAATTCTAAGAAAAAGTGACTTCTAGTAGAAACTACAGGAGCCAGTAGTTTGTTCTCCACCTCATTCTACAAGCTCTTTTTTTCTGGCTTCTTTATCCATTGTTATTATTTCCAAGTTATCTTTCTCTTGTGATCAAAAATTTTCCATTCCTCTTTTAGTTCCTTTCTCATCCTACCCTCTAATGGTTCAAAGGACATAGAGGAAACAGGGTCACATGGGAGGAATGGTGCCTTGAAAGTTGAAGGCTCAGCTTAAAAATGGACACTTGTGAATTAAAAAAAAGTATCAGTAAGTGGTTCTTACTCTTCCTCTGCTTGTTCCATTCCCTTACTAACTCGGCAGAATGTTACCAACAAGTCTGGGTTACATACAAAACTTGTGACATCATCCAGAATAGGTGAACATGAATTATATCACTCATAGTTCTGAAACATGATGGAGACACAATATCTTTTAGGTTTATAAGGTCAGAGAGCTCCCTATCCTAAAGAAATGCTATGCTATCTTTTATACTTCATAGTATTTCTTTATTGACTAAGGACAAATATATTGTAGAGTTTGTATAAATAAATATATAACCTAAGACATTAATAAACACTTAAGTGGATTACGCTGTGCATTAAAAACAACTTTTGGTCAGGTTACTGGTAAGAGAGGATGGGAGGAACAGTTGGGAATTTAGTAGCTTAGTTTTTGATCTGGTTATCTCATTCAGCAACTTTGAGTATTAATTATCTGTAGACCTCTGTTGGAGGACTGTTTACACACCTTATCACACAGATGCCAGGAAGTCATAGTGTGACCTCATTGAATAATTCCACAATCACAAGTGCTAATTAAATCCTCTCTTTGCAAGAATGTCAATATGTAGCTTCCACCTTAAGATACTACTATGTGAAAACAATTTTCATGAAAAAAAAACCCATATGTTTATTACTTTCCACAAGCTACAATAAGTGCTCAGCAACACTTTCAACTAATTATATGCTAATGAAATAAGTCAGTTTTTAAAGCCTCATTAAGCAGAAGTTTTATAGCAAGGCTCAAATATGAGGCCATCAACTGGGACTCCAACATCTTGACTTTAAAGTCTGTGCAATCATTCAGCCTTAAAAAGCAAGGAGATTCTGACACATGCTACAGGGAGGATGAAGCTTGAAGACATTCTGTTAAGTGTTGAGTACTAAAAATCACAAGAACAAAATAGAACCAGGGACCAGGAGATGGAGAGGGGCAATGTAAGCGGCTATTATTTTATGGGTAGAGAGTTTCAGTAGAGAAAGATAAAAATTCTGGACATGAATGGTGGTGGTGGCTGCCTGACAATGTGAATGTACTTAGTGGCAGGGGACTGAACACAAAAACAGTTAGAAGCCTAAATTTTATGTTATATATATTTTGCCACAATTTAAAAAAGTCTACTTAATGAATTTGTTCCTGAACAAGCCAATACTAAATACTAACCATGAAAAC